AAATGAAGATAACAGCTTCGTGGATGTGCCTTGCTTGTAAAAATAAGGTTCCTCGCATTGGAGACCATTCCAACACACCGGTTAAGTGCCAAGAAGTTGGTGACTGTAGTCCTACCCATAAAGATATCGATATAGGATTAGAAATTCGTCTTTTTCGAAATGAGCTTAGTGCTATGAGTAATGAGCTGAAGGAAGTCAGGGACAATATAACTATGCTAAAGGATACAGTTCTAGCGTGTAATAAAAACCTGGAGGAAATGGATTGCAGGGTCACCAATTTGGAAAAACTATATGAAGATCGTCTGATTAAGTGCGACACTAAAATACTAGAGGACACAATTAGTGAACTTAGGGTCCAACTTAATGAGAGAGTTCAGGACCTCCTAGCCAATAACCTGGAGATATCGGGATTACCGGAGCAAAAAGGTGAAAACCCTATCAATACCGTGATGTTATGCGCTAAAAAGATAGGTCTCGACATTGATCACCGCGAGATAGTTCATGCCGAACGTGCTGGTATCTTGCGTGCATTTTATAATAATAACAATAGTGCTCAAAAACTCATGTCTACTGGACCCCGCAAGATTGTGGTGCCGATGAGTCGGCGTGCGGTTCGGGACGAGTTCCTACGTTGTGCGCGGGTGCGACGCAACATAACGAGTGATTCACTGTGGTTGCCCGGAGATCCGTGTCGGATTTATATTCATGAGAGGCTTACTCCCGTTAATAGGAAATTATTTGGAAAGACACGAGAGGCAGCAAAAAAGGCAAGTTGGCGCTACACTTGGACAAAAGGTAGTCAAGTTGCGGGAGCTGCCGAGAGCTTTTTTAAAACTAAATACAAACTAAGACTTAAAACTAAATAAAAACTACGTGTTCACAGAGAGAGATGTGAATTTATTCTGATCATTGTCTTTTACAATTCTTAATCCTAAGCTTACAGTCTACTTAAATTACTACATACTCAGCATTTGTGTATTTATGCTGATGGACGTTTTATCTGTATTATGGGTGGTGCTGGTGTAACCATAACTCCTCCCTCCTCGACTGCAAAGTTATCGGCAAGATTTGGATTCCGATGATTTTGCATACAATGTAGGAGCTTAGACTTAAGTTTCCAAATTACAACAATAAGAATAATTAAAACTAATATAACATAGAGTAGTACAGTAGCTAAACTAACACTTTTCTTTTTCACTAAGCTTTCACTTTCACTTTCCACTATTTCGCTTTTCAGTTTGTACGAGAGATATTTTAGTTCGTCCAAATTAACGCGATTTAAATTCACTGTTTTCTCCGCATTTGTAGGCTGCTCTATCAATTTGGGTAGAGTTAAAATTGGTGTCACCTTATATTGCAGTTTTCCTGAGTAGTATCGTTTCCGGTGTAATTTAATATTGCCTAATTTTATCTCACAGTTTTCATCGATTTCCAAGAGGTAAGTGCCCTTTACAGCATTTCTTTGAGTGTCATCGCCACACGTTTTTGTAAGCACTATTTCATTTTGTGTAAATAGGATCCAGTTAATAGGACCAATAGACTGTATCTTAACACTTTCCAGCTCTACTATTGATAATTTACAAAGGCTTAGATTTGATGCGAAGTTCATAAGTTGTTCTATGCATGTGTTTTCAGGATACTGCACGATATCAATTTCTTCACACAGAAACTGGTTTGCTGCTATCTCCTGACATGGGCCATCTAAGGGTAAGTACGTGTGATCTTTCACCATGAGGTAAGGATATTTGGGAAAAATAACAGTTGTTCTATTATAGGTGGGATCAAACATAGGTAAGGCATACATTTTAAAATAAGTGTATGTAATATTATCAGTCAGAGGGATTTCCATGATGAACGTTATTTGGTTTTCTTTTACATAGGCCTTAACAGACATAGATCTTTCTAAATTAACTAAATTGTTTTCAGTAATAGGATACAATAAACTATTTGTTTGAGATATAGATTCTAATATTGCTAATAATTCAGTGGAATTAACAATGGCTTGGTGTAGAACGTGAAGTTTAGTAAATGCTAATGCCGTTTCTATTTCGCTTAAAATTAAGTATATAGTTCTAAAATTATTGACAAACATGTTAAACATACTTAAAACATATGTGGAGTATATGCTATTATCGTCTTTAGTAATTATATATTTTACAATTCTTTCTATACGTTTCATTCGTTCATCTATAATTTTGATATTTTCCTGTAGAGATCCAGTACTATTTATAAGAGAGTTAAGCATCTCAGAGATTATTGTTATTTTCTTATTAGTGTGCGTTTGTTGGGTCTTTAATTGAGATATGAGATTGTCGTATTTTATTGCATCATTGTGGTCTAAATTTCCTGTAAGCGTTTTGATAACAGAACCTAATGGATTAATAAGACCGCGCTTGAAACGTATCGAAGGTATGAGTTGTTTAAACTTTTCTACAGCTAAGTTACTTAAATAATTTACTTGTGTTTTCATATTTTGGAATTCATTTACGTATGGCTTATGGATGTCTACTAAACTGCTAAATTCTTTATATTTATTGATATTAAAATTTAAATCATCTTTTATGCTACTAAAGTCTAACTGCTTAATTATAACCCACTTATCTACTTCCTTGTATGCTTGTCCTTGCTTTACGGGTAACATGCCTGGGTTATGCTCAATCTTTAGAAGTTGAAGGCCTTGGGTCTGGATCATCAGATTCAGGTTCACGAAGATCGCCAACAACCTGTGGAGGGCGTTTCACATTTTTGAGGTGCACTTTAGTTTTTCTTTTCCCTATCGTTACAGGTATTATGTTTCTTTCAACATCACCTTGCACTTTCGCCTTTTGATACCTAGGTTTATCCTTACTTTTCCTTATGTTAATATCTTTAATAAAAACCGTATCACCTTCCTTAAGATCAATTCCAGATTCCCCGCTTTTCTTTTTCCTAACCTTTTCTTTATCTGTATGGACTTTTTCGGAAATATACCTATATAAGTATTTGGTTCGTCTCGCGTGGTCTTTAATGAGTTGCTGTGTATATGCCTTTTCAAAATCTACGTCGAATATTTTACCAGAATCGGTATGACCAAATGCTACTTCAAAGGGTGTTAATCCTGTCGTTGAATGAATAGTATGATTATATGCCATGACTGAATATGTCATGACAGATGCAGCGTCTGTGCATTTATGTTCATATTTTGCAAGTCTGTATATTTCAATTATAGTGGAATGAAATCTTTCGACAATGCCTGTCGAATTGGGGTTATTGGGAGTTGTGATATGAGTTTCTATTTTATACATAGATAGGAGCTGGCGCATAAGTTCGTTATTGAATTCAGTGCCTGGATCAGCTGATATTTTCTTAGGAATTCCGTACATAGAAAAATATTTAATTAATGCTCGCACTACTTCAGTGGTTTGTCGACTTGCAATCTCTAAGGCCTGCCCTAATTTGCTAAAAGCATCCACAACGGTTAAATAATACTTCTTCTCAATAGTAAATAAATCTATAAATAGTTCCTAAAAAGGCGCATCCTGAGTTGATGTGAGTTGTAGTATAGGTTTTATTGGTTTCCTATCGTACTTCATTAATTTGCACGGTTCACAAGCATTTATAACGGCAGCTACAGTGTCTTGCATATTTTCCCAATAATAGTTTCTGCGTAATCTTATCATAGTTTCTTTCACACCGCGATGACATGTTTTTCCTTCATGGTGTTTGAGAATGACAGCTTTTTGTTCTTTTTCATCCTCCACATATACTACGCGATGTGTACATTCAAAGAATTGTACTGCATCCTTTTTAAAGAGTTCTATAATAACTTTTGCAAATAATTTCCTATGCTCAGCGTTCTCGAAATAAATAAAGTATCGACTCTTAAATTTTATATATTCCTTTAAAAATTGTTTTATTAGGTAATTCTTCGTTTTCTAGTGGGAGAAATACCTCTAGTACTTTTTGTTTTTTTTTCTAGATAAATTTCTGACTTGTAGTTTATTTTGGAACCAAGAAAATACTAGGATCTGATTTGGTTTGGTATCTATTGCCTCGCTCAAAATTGGGATTGCTGTTGACTCGGGTTCAACATTTGAATGTATTGTGTCTGTGCTACTACTGTTAGTTACAGATGGTACAGGGTAGTTTTCTTCGAACAATTCTATATGATCCGTTACACTCGAGTCTGAGTCTGAAATTATCACTGTCTCTGGTTGAGGTTTAGGTCTGTATTTTTCAAGTTCTTTCAGTTGACGTATTACTTTTTGTATTTCATCATCATCCACATTAACATCCATTGATGCGTCGTCTAAAGCATTAAGTTTTATGCGAGACAAGGCATCAGCATTGGTATTTTGTTTGCCGTTTTTATAGACGATTGTAAAATCGTATTCTTGAAGACGCAAACGCCAGCGTGTTAGTTTGCTGTTAGGCTCCTTAAGGGAATAGAGCCAAGCAAGGGGTCTATGGTCTGTATAAATTTGAAATTTTTGTCCATACAAATAGGGCCTAAAATGCTTTACAGCCCAAATGATGGCTAAAAGTTCGCGCTCTATTGTGCTGTATCGTGACTCGGTGTCACTAAGTGTGCGGCTGGCATATGCAATAGGCTTATCTGACCCTATTGGTCCTTGTGATAATACTGCCCCAAGAGCTACATTTGAAGCGTCGGTAGTTAATATATACGGTTTAGTCGAATCAGGGTATTGTAGTAGTGGGACACTGGTCAATATTTCTTTACATTTATGAAAAGCATCTATATAATTTTGATCTATAATTATCTTATTCCTTTTCTTTAAACACGATGTTAGGGGCTGTGTGATTTTCGCAAAGTCCTTTATAAATTTTCTATAATATCCAACCAGCCCAAGGAAACTTTTGATTTCGGTGGTTGTCTTAGGAAGAGGATAATTCTGTATTACCTTAATTTTGTCGTCGTTTGGTCGCAGTCCGTCTTTAGTTATGGTGTGTCCAAGATATAAAACTTCTTTTCGGAAAAATTCAGATTTGTCTAATTGTATTTACATGTTAGTCTTTCTAAGTCGGTCAAAAACTGTACGGAGTTTCTCCATGTGTTCTTGTAGACTAGCGGAAAAGATAATAACGTCGTCAAGGTACACAAGGCAATGGATTCCTTGCAACCCTCTTAAGACGTTATTCATAGCCCTTTGAAAGGTGGCGGGGGCTGTCTTTAATCCAAATGGCATCCTCAGGAACTCATAGTGTCCATTTTGGGTGCTGAAAGCAGTTTTCTGTCGGTCATCTTCATTAAGTTCAATTTGGTGATAGCCGCTGGCCAGGTCGAGTGTCGAAAAGTAAGTGCTCTTACCTAGTTTATCGAAAAGGTCTGCGATATTTGGAAGGGGGTACTTATCATCAATTGTAATTTCATTTAGCCTTCTGTAATCTATGACCATTCTGTATTTAACTTCGCCCGAAGCATCAGCCTTTTTTGGAACAAGATGTACGGGAGAATTCCATGGGGAGAAAGATTCCTGAATTACATTATCTAATAGAAGTTTATCGACCTGCTTGTTTATCTCTGTTACTTGTACGGGGGCTAGTCTGTAAGGTTTTGTGAATATAGGGTCCTCGTTTTTAGTCCGAATGAAGTGTTTAACCTGATTACTAAAACTCAAAGGTATCCGTTCACAATAAAATATATCCTTGTATTCCTCACATAGTTTACGAATGTTATGTCTTTCCTCTTCATTCATATGGTTTAGTCGTAACTTGTTTAAATTTTCAAGCAATAACTGGTCCGTTTCTAGATCAGAGTGATCTATAGAACACAAACATCCACACATCAATAAATTTCAAAAGGTTTCTTAATAGATAGTTCCATTTGTTGATCTAACGTATTTTGTATAATTGTGGTGGCATAGCCCTTCTCACATTTTACCAATGCAGAAGGCGTGCGCACTCCGTCACAGAATCGGGTATAATTTAATATTCCTTCGCCATAAAACATGTTAGCAGGTAATTTTGCTCTTACTTCAGAACGAGGTGGAAGTATTACTACATGTTCTAAGCTATTGTGTATTATCGGTATTCTAGAAGAATTTGTAGTAAGTACTTGTTTCTTCAAATCAATTACAGCTTCCAACTGCTTCAATAAATCATTCCCAATTAACCCATCATAACGTGAATCGACATTATAAAGATAAAATTTATGTTCGTCATTACTTTGAAATAAAGAAAATAGTGGAATTTTAATTACCTGATTGTGTTCACTAGATGCGTGAGTGCTTATAACCTTAAAGGGTTCATTTGTTATATAGTTACGGTAGTATTGATGTGCTTTATCGGGGCTTATAAAAGAACGGGTGCTTCCTGTGTCTATCATAAAGTTAGCATCTATTTCCGGTATATATATGTATGGTAGTTTTAGATTTATGTCGCAATTCAATTCTATTATTTCGGGTGGTTTTCGGAGGCTTTTACTTGAAAATTTTCAGTCTGTGCCGATATGTCATTATCCTCTGAATCATTGTTTTCTTCGGCCTCTATTAGAGAATTTTCTTGTATGGATTCATCTTCATAATAATTTTCGTATGGTTCCTCATACATGTAATTTTGAGGAAATTCGTAGGGATAGTATGATGGATAAATTTCTAATTCGTTTAGGCGGAAACCTGGTTGAAAAGGCTTTGGAGGGGCAGTTCTCATAGAAACATCAGTATCATTAGAAACCGGCTTATTATGCACATTATTATTATTATTAGGATAATTAAAACGATGAGAGTTACCAAACTGTTGTGGTAACATTGGTTGCATGGGGGTATAGCCCGGGGGTCTAAATCCAAAGTTTGGTCGGTATCCAAAATTAGGTCGGTATCCAAACTGAGGTGGGTGATATTGCTTAGGGAAACTCATTTGCTGTTGAGGCTTATTTTGTGGTAACGGAATCTTCATTTGTCTACTATTGGGAATACCAAACTTAAATTGAGGTGGTGTTCCGAAATTTTGCCTAGGGGGTTGGTTTTGTGCTAACATTGGTCTAAAACCTGTAGGCTGTGTTGGCATTGCGAACTTAAACGATGGTTGTTGCACTAGTGTACTACTAGACTGTGGCTTAGACGTATGGCTAGACTGTAACATTTTACTACGCATCTGATATTGGTCATAGAAGTTTACTTCTTCTAGAACTATACTTAGTGCTTCTTCTAGTGTACTGGGTGTTTTCAACCTAACAATGCGCACCATATTTTCGGATAAATTGTATAAGAAAACCTGCAGAGCGGTGTAATTGTAAATAATAGTTTTACTTATTTTTAAGTTTTTATCACCAATTTGATTAACCTTCGATAATAGCACCGATTTAACGGAATGTATACGACCACAAAAATCTGTATAATTTTCATTTTGGTGTTTCTTTAAAGTTTCTAATTCTATGGCTAAACATTCCTCGCTACGTGGGTCGCCGAAGTGAGTTAAAAACAATTCCTTGAATTCGGCCCACGTCTCTATATCTTCCCGTTCACTGATAAGCGACGCAGCCTCGCCCGTAAGACGACTAGTAATGATTTGCATTATATATTCATTTTGCACATCGGATGATTTAAAGTTACTTATTATATATTCACATTTACGCAAAAATAAATTTAAATGGCGCTTATCGCCGCTAAATGTTGGTATTATTTTAGTTAATTCGTTAGGGATAAGTTTGATTTCCGACATTTTTAATAATTTATTCACTGGTTCTACACAAAAATAAAAAAAATAATATAAAATATTTATTATAACCCTACCAGTTCCACAAATGTTGTAAGGAAAATTCGAGTATAAGTAATAATCTATTATATATTAACGTGTCGAGTAATCTTTAAGTTAACAAACACATGTAGAAACAATAAGAACTTAATATAATGTATAATTCATAATATAATATACTCTATAACTTTATTGAGTGATATGGGGCTTATTATTATGTACGTATAACAATTAAATTAATATTATTTTAATTTTTATTTAAGTAATATTTATTACACTTAATACTTTATAAAATTTACGTAAGATTAGTATTTGAAACCCAAATAACAGTCAAAATGGAAAATGTCTAATTCCAAGTTTACTAAGGGATATGAAGGAGGTGAAGAGTCGTACTCACCAGCCCGCAGTGCCCATCATCAGCTTCACGGCTCCTTATTCTCGACGAATTTGTTTTGGTTCGCTGGATCACCACGCTGTATGGATCGTCCGCCGATACGCGAAAATGAGTAAAATTGTATACGCGATATTCACGAACGGTGGCACAGCTTTTCCGGTGATCCTACCGGCTGCGCCAGTCAAGTTGCGGGAGCTGCCGAGAGCTTTTTTAAAACTAAATACAAACTAAGACTTAAAACTAAATAAAAACTACGTGTTCACAGAGAGAGATGTGAATTTATTCTGATCATTGTCTTTTACAATTCTTAATCCTAAGCTTACAGTCTACTTAAATTACTACATACTCAGCATTTGTGTATTTATGCTGATGGACGTTTTATCTGTATTATGGGTGGTGCTGGTGTAACCATAACTAGGTGGTCAAATATTAGTAAGAAAAGAAGACGGAAAGCCCGTAACACGCATCCGATCCGATACAGACCTAAGTCGTGTTTTCTGCTAACTCTGAGTTGGGTGTTTATAGAAAATTGTTTATGTGCTACCTTTGTTATTTTAGTAATAGTGAGTGTTGTTGATTGGTTTTGGAAAGATAATAATTTTGCTTTTAATTATGTTATTATTATGGCTAACAAATTATGACTTTATGGATACAGTATGTTATGTCACATTTAACTTAAATTTATTGTTTAATAACATATTACATAGCTTCTTACCAACCATATCCTTTATACACGCCTTACTTTGTAGTTATAGGTCAATACACTTTAGACTATTTGCTATTTTTAAGTTAAAGGTTTATTTACTTTATACTATTGAGATTTTATTTTGTTACCTTTGTTGTTTAAATATTAATGAATGTTTGATTGATATAGGAAATATAATGATTTTTCCTTTAAATATCTTAACATCATGGCTAACATACTTGTATTATGATTTTACAGACTCCGTATGTTATGCCACATTTAAATTAAACCTATTGTTTAATAACCTATATAACTTCTTACCAACCACATTCTTTATACACGCCTTATTTTGTAGTTATAGGTCAATACACTTTAGACTATTTGCTATTTTTAAGTTAAAGGTTTATTTACTTTATACTATTGAGATTTTATTTTGTTACCTTTGTTGTTGTTGTTGTTTAATACCGTGTAGTGGCGGTCAAGAATACCACTACCCCATATCCTCCCGTGGGTGTCGTAAAAGGCGACAAAGGGAAACAGGCAGAAGATGGGCAGCAGCATCTTCCTGATAATAGCCAAAATTATAATAAAAAAACTGCGGTTGCCAACCCGCTCGCCAAGCGTGGCAACTATGGCAAATACCCCCCTATGAATGTAACAAAGAGACGGCCCCCAGTCCCTGGCGGCCCCGCTATTCTTGGCTACGGTGGCGACCATGGTAACGGCGGGGCAGGGGGTGCTAAGAATCTCCGGTGGAGGTTCGGTTGCCACCTTAGACGACTCAACCTGGCAACGTACAACGCACGCACCCTGAGGACTGACGAGAAGATCGTGGAGCTGGAAGAAGAAAAAGACAAGTTGCGCTGGCATATTATAGGATTATCCGAAGTCCGAAGAGAGGGGGAGGACACGGTAATCCTCTAATCCGGCAACTTGCTCTATCACCGGGAGGGCGACCATCTGTCCCAAGGAGGTGTCGGATTTATCGTCCACAAGTCTCTCGTTAACAAAGTTGTAAAGATCGGGAGTGTATCGACGAGGGTTGCGTACCTTATACTCAGAATCACCAAACGGTATTCGCTGAAGGTCATACAGGTTTACGCACCAACCTCGGCACACCCCGATGGGGAGGTGGAGGAAATGTATGAGGATATCTCTAGAGCCATGCATTCCTCCAAAACCCAATATACGGTGTTAATGGGAAACTTCAATGCAGAACTAGGCACAAGAGAGAACGGTGAGCTGAAAGTAGGGAAATTTGGAATAGGGCAACGGAACTCAAGGGGCCAGCAGCTGGCCAACTTCATGGAGAAAGAGGGACTCTTTATGATGAACACTTTCTTCCAGAAGCGGCCCCACAGGAAGTGGACCTGGTCGAGCCCCGACGGTTCGACAAAAAATGAGATTGACTTCATTATGACGACCAGACGACAACTGTTCAGTGATGTCTCCGTGATCGCGAGGGTGAAAACTGGTAGCGATCACCGAATGGTTAGAGGCACACTGAGCCTAAACGTTAAGTTGGAGAGGTCTCGTCTAATGAAGTCAACGCTCCGTCCCCCTCGTGCTCTGTTCCAAAGTCCCGAAACCTTTCAGCTCGAGTTACAAAACCGTTTTCAGTGCCTAGAAGACTGCAATGAAGTGGACGATATGAATGACAAGCTCGTGGAAACTGTCCATGCGGTCGGAGCTAAGTTCTGCAAGACCCGCCGCAGAAGAACACAAAAACTCTCCGATCACACTCTTAATCTCATGGCTGTTAGACGGGAGATAAAGCTACATTCTTCAACAGATTTGACAGCATACAGGCAACTGAACAGACAGATCTCCAAATGCATGCGGCGGGACTTACGCAACTTCAATACAGCTCGTATTGAAGAAGCGATCGAGCGGAACCAAGGCTCCAAAGTCTTTGCCAGAGATCT